ACACACAAACGCACACAGACAATGAAACTCGCTGCTTTTTATCATTACAAAGGCAAGCAATTGGCCTGGGCCCTCTCAAAGTTATGTTCCCATGAAGCATAGGAAGAAGGGCATCTCATTCATTATGTATCGATGGACTTTTGCCAGCTCTAGCAGCAGGAAACACAACAGCACATGGTGGCTAACTTTCGTGCATGACGGGCAACAAATTATATTTGTGCATCTCTGCCAGTCAAGGCGTTGTTATCGATGCGATTGTCAGCAGGTAGTTTCGCATGCAGTTACGATGCGTGTTGACACTTCCTGAGTGGTGATGCAGGGCACACCAGTAACAGGCTGCTTGTCACTGCTATGCACTGTTATGTTATGTGTGGATCGCCGACACCACGGTGATGACTATCATTGATGTTACATGGACTAGCTGCAAAGGCACGTTGAGCATCAGGCTCGTTGTGCATCGGGCACGAGGTGCATCCGGCACGTTGTGGACAGAGTGGATGTGTTTTCACGCAAAAGTGTGACACCTATGCCATCACCTCGCCTCTGTCGTTGCCGGTCAACAAGTGGCGGGAGAGTGTCTGAAGTGGGGACCAGTGCTACCGCCGCCAGCACACAGCTTTGGCATTGACCGGGAGTTCCACCTCCATCAACAACGCGCCAGCAAGTGCTCGTTCAGGACTATTGGGGAGCCTTTTGCGCGGCAGCATGAATTAAGTAACCAGGAGCTCCACCTTCCGTAAGCGCAGGCATTGTGCTATGTTTTGTCAACCTTTGTGTGAAAGGAAGTACTTTGTCTGTTGTAAAAGGCCGTGTCTCAACCGCGTGACAGGTAGCTCTGGATATTCATGCAGGGGCAGAAGCAGATCCGGTTACCTATTCAAAGCGGTGCGCTGGAGCGCTGCCAGCCTGAGCGCTGCCACCTGTGCTTAGCACGTGTGCAAGACCTACGCCGCCTTATACTCTACTTTAGTGTTGTAGCAAGCATTGATTACTGGTGCGTCAGGCTGCTGTGGTCCACCATGACTCGCTAAAAAGCACATGCTGCTGCAGCAAGATACCTGCATGACACAACTCATCACTGGTGTGCTTGGCTGTGCTGTGCTGCCATGACTGCCACAGGCGCCACCGTCAATCCTACTGTGGTAATGCTGGCGCCAATTGACGGATATCTTGGGCTGACGTACAGCAACGACCGCCTGGCGGATGCCGTTGCTACTGCCATCGCAGAAGCGGGTTCGCTTCCAGAAGAGATTCATAGCGCCATGGATGGCAGAGAGATTTCGCCGACGGACGCCACTGAGCTGGCTTCTGAGATTGGGGACCGTATGGTCTGGTCAATGGTCACAGTCTTCTTGAAGTCCTATGCGAGAGCGGACTCCTCGGAGGCCGCCCGCGAAGCTGCGGAGGACGCCTCTACAGTAGCCATTGATTCTTTTCTTAGTTACACCGTGGAGTGCGAGTATATACGGCTTAGTCACAGAGTGCTTTCGTTCTTTGTGTCCAAGGCCGACAAGGTGGTTCAGGTGGAGGCGGAATCCGGGCACATGCGCAAGAGGTGGTCTTCAGTGCCATCCGTGGCTCACCTTTTCTCAGAGCAGGGCATCAGCGCAGACGAGTTTGACATGAAAATTCAAGCCTGACAGAGCCTATAGCTGCAGCACTACTCCCTGATAAGGACTGTCTCCGCAGCGACGTGCAAAGAGCAAAGGATTTGGTGTCAGTAAGGGACGAGGCAAACCGCTTCCGCATGTGGGTCCTGGACAACGTTGAGGCCTTGTTGCGCGACCCGGTCAACGCTTCAACTTCAACTAGTTGATGTCACATGTGGCACCATCATGTGGACGCGGTGCCTCCGACAGCAGCAGCAGCGGCACCAGCAGGGTATACATTGTGGCCTCAGACATGCAGGAGGCATGGAGTGTGTATGACTTTATACGTGTCCGACAGCGGCAGCAGCAACACAGTACATGCTGTGGCAATGGCAGGCACGCACATGCCATATTTTGAACGTCGTCATATTTGCACACCTTAGACGACAGTCCGTCGCGACGGCGTCGTCTAGACGACAGGAACTTGCCCCAGCCTGTCGCGACGGTGTCGTCTAGACGACTGTACTATGCGCCAGTCTGTCGCGACGGTGTCGTCTAGACGACAGGACCTTGCGCCAGCCTGTCGCGACGGCGTCGTCTAGACGACAGGGTTTTGCGAGCACGTTCACGACAGGAAACGGCAGATCACTTCAAGCAGAAGTTGAAGTGCGATCGCAACGACCTAGTTTAGCCAGCGCGCAGTGCCAAGAATGGTGTTAGAGCTTGTGCTATGCTTCGTCAGCTATCCTTATGCCTCTTAAGCCTTGCTGCCTACCCTGTAGCAGTTGTATGTGCGTCCTGCAACGCACGACAGGACACGATAGTAAAAGTGGTTCCCATTGCACAACGGCGTCGTCTAGACGACAGTGTGGTGCCCCCAGATTCTGCCCCCCTTGCCTGGAGGTAGAATCAGCCTACCTACCCCCCCTTGTACTTTTGTGATACCTACCTAGCCACATGCGCGTTCACGCGAATGCAGTGGTTGGGTTCTGTCACTACATTAGTTTTATGCCAAGCTTCCGCCACATCGCCTTAGTTACATTGTGGTGGGGGATTAGCCCTGAGCATTTGGTCATTGCGGGCACGGGTGGTGATCTAGATGCTAGTACGGCCCCACTCTGCTCACTGCCAACAGCATGGTGGGCAATTGTGCTAGTATTTGCAGTGTCACTACAGCCCAGCATTGTAGCGCATCTCACAGGTATCTCCCACCAATCCTCCATTTTGGCTCTTGGCTCACACAGGGCGTTTTCTAGCCAGTTCTGTGTTGAGCCTATGTCCCATGGTCACTGGAGATGCCCATTTCCATGCCAGTTCATCTGCCTGTTGATATTGGTAGGGATATTGCAAGGGGCAGTCCTCTCGACCCGCATATGCCTTCTTTGCAAAAATACGATTTACAACTCCTCTGTGGCACGTTAGCCTGGCCTGATCAGCCAGAGTGTGGTGTTGTCTGCCTTCCTGCTCCTAGCCTGCTCACACGTAGCATTGCTCTAGTCAGGACTACCACAACAGGAGGTCAGCGAGACCCGTCGCGACGGCGTCGTCTAGACGACACGAAGGTGGCAATGGGTCTGTCGGACCGTCGCGACAGGACTTTTGGCTGTCGATTCACGACAGTCCGTCGCAGCCCTGTCGTGAACGCGACCTGTCGTCTAAGGTGTGCAATATTTGTGTGCATATTTTATGTGGAACCATGGCAGAGAGCCTGAGTGCAGATCTCTGGCAGCGCTCAGCAATGCTCCAAGACACCAGTGCAGACAGCAATCTTTCTATGTATGTGTTGGCTTGCCTGATATTGGAATGCCAATTGCTTGTCCTTGCATTGCCTGGCGCTATCCAGTTGCTTGCTGCCATTGCGTTTCAGAGCCTAGCCGTGGCGACAGTAGCAGCAGCTGCAGGTGCTACCTTGAAGTAGCCGAACGTGCGATTGTTCTGGACTGGATCGAAGTGGCATTGGTGTATAGACCAGACTGAGTGATGGTGTCCACTCGATGAATGCATGGAAGAGCAGCTCTATATCCAGACGAACAGCGCCAGCTGGCAAATAGGCATGCACTCAAAGAAAAGCTTGTCGCGCGCACGCAAATCGACTCCAACGTACACTCATCATTACTTTAGTGTATGTGGCAGCTGACAGGATTTACCAGGAAGTCGAGGAACCGATGTGATACAGTGCAGGTGCAGGTGCATGCTGAAGCCTGAAGTATGTATTCCATGCAAATCACTGCTCAGGTATACAATGTCATACTGACCTTGACATCTCGGAGGGCTCTGTCCTGACCAAGTATATTATTGTATTACGCTCGAGTGGTGATCACAGTCTAGCATGTTGTACAGATCATACAGGGTACAAGGTATTCACAAGCCATGTCTGCAGGGCTAGCGTCTGAACTCAGACGGCCGCCTTGGCGCAACTTACTTTGGGTTTCGAGCCCTGGCTAAACTAGTTTAGCCATGGCGCAATTGGCGCAACTCTTATTAAGGCTTCTAGTGCTTCTATAGTCACTATTAAGGCCCATAGAGCTTACATAAGGGTTAGGGTTAGGGTTAAGGTCATGACTAACCCTAGTTAATTGCACTAACCCTAGGCAAGACTCGCGAGTAAACTCGCGAGTAATAGGTAATACTCATGAGTAAATGTGCGAGTATCGCCAGTTGCGCCATGAGTCACTTGCCGGGGCTGCTGGCGCAACTGGCACAACACACTGGCGCAACGTGTTTGGCGCAAGAGTTTAGTTTAGACGCTAGCCCTGCATGTCTGGCAATAAGCTTTGTGCGTCAGCAGAGTTCCTACCATGGCACTGCATGTGATGCAAAAAAAACTAGGGTTATGAGCCGGTCCCCCAAACCGTCTGAATTGCAGCCGGGGTAGCTCACCGACCGTTTAAACCGGTTAAGACGGAACTTGGTGACTGCTACCGTCTTTGACCGTCTTTTCCGTCTTAGCCGGTTGAGCCGGTCAGCTTACCAATCAAAAGCGAGTTAACCCCTTCCGCCTACTCCGATCAGCGAAGCACGCTAACAATCCCCCATGCTGCATTGCATCCTGCTCACAGAAAAACTAAAGTTCAACTGCTAGACTTCAACTGTTAGTTGAATTCAACTTCCAGTTGAAGTTAACTTCCAGTTGAAGTGAACCGAAAAAGTGTGGTGGCGACATTGAGTGAGCTTGTGCTTGCTCGCTACCAGCGGCGGCGGCATCAGCATTAGTTTCTTGACACCGTACGTGGGCCACATGACTGCTGCTGCATGATATAAGCCGTGCGAGCCATGTCTGAAAGAAGCCGGAGAAGACGGTCCCCTCGAGATCCGTCTTTTCGGCTGCCCCGACTAGCCGGAGCCGAGCCGGTTCAGACGGTTCCGGCTCGTAACCCTAAAAAAAACATTCTTGAATGACATAAAAGTATCCGCTCCCGACAGGGTTCGAACCTGTGACCTTACGATTAACAGTCGTGCGCGCTGCCAAACTGCGCCACAGGAGCTGGTGATGGTTGGCTTGATATTTTGTCAACAGACAACATCAGGCCGCTGGAATAGTCCGCATCAGGATGATCAACGAACCACCATCATAATGCTTGGGCGCACATCAGGATAATCTGTCAAAGCCACACCATCTGTTAATGCCACACCATTATAATTCTGGTGCGCACGTGAGGATAAGGATAATCTGTCAATGTCACACCATAAAAACTGTGGATTTCACAATAAATCAGAACTTGATTTATTCAATTCATTTATTCTTTAATAAATAAGAAAACTGTGGATTTTCACAATGAATGAGACCTTGTTTTTATTTATCCAAGGAAAGAAGTTAGCACGATTGAATGAATGGGAAACACTGAAAACACAGTGGAAAACACGAAAATGATGTTTCTTCAGTGAAAACACGAAAATGATGTTTCTTTTGCTGCGACAACCCGGCGAGGCGAGCGGTCGCGTTGCTCAAAATCAGTGCATGCGCAGCGCTGTAAACATGTCGCCGTTTGATTTCACGCCTTGCTGTTGCATTTTGGTGCAGTTTGCAAGGGGGCTTAGCAGTGTGAAATTAACCTGCCGGGACTAACGTGCTTGCACTGCACGTGAGCAATGTCGAACAGAGCAGACAGCACACTGACACCCACAGCAGCACTCAAGCAAGTGCGTGTGTCTTCTCAGACTGTCGCGCTTTGCAGTGACAACCCAACTTGAACCTTTACTTCTACAACTGTCAAGAACTATCTTGATTGGTCGGAACAGCTCTTGGAGAAGCGACAGGTGACGCAACCCAGTGTCACCACAGTCACGCCCCCAGGGCTTGGCAAAGCTGACAACAGGAAAGCAACCGTGACTTCACTATGTGTGCACGTGCGACCACAGCACAACACAAATGCAAGACCTGCACAACGACACATGCATGCATGCTAACTGACCCTCACCCAGTGCACATATGCTGCTACTAGTAGTATGCACGAATTCACATGCAAATATTACACTACTGTAATGCAATGCCTTCAGACGCGTTGACCTGCGCCAATTGTGCCATACAGAAACCATGTGTCGTCCAGTGACATAGGCGCGGTGCCATAGTTTGCATCAGCACTAAGTGCACATGATAGCAAAGATCTTGAGTAATTTGCCCTCATCAACCCAGAACACTCAGGCTGTGGCACGTGCCCTAAGGTGTAAGATGCGGTGCCTGCTTGCGTGCGCCGTGGGTATACTATACTTCGAAGTATATATATAGCTGAACTGCCCATGACTTCCCCCTCATGCCCGGCCATTGTGTATACGATGCGCCGTCAGAAGCAGTCATCTGATAGACCACCGTGGCAATGCATGATTTCCACCCCCTGACAGCAGTGCTGAGCAATGCCTTGCTACTGGGTGCCGACATGACACCATGCGCGCTAGGAGCAACTTCGTATGACCCAGGCCCCGAACACACACAGCTAAGACGCCTCCGATGCCATGCTGCTTCTCGGCCTTGCGATGTTTCCGCCTGACGAGTGCCATGCCAGCGCCGTCACCGTCACGGTCGATCGCGAGATCATCGCGTACTACTTGGTAAGTCGGCGGCGGGGCTCAGCGTAGTCCAGCACTCGTGCAACGCCGTAGGGCAAGCGTCCATGTTGAACTCGTCTTCCCAGGACTTGGCAACGTCGCCCTCCCAGGTGCGTACGAGGTGCTGCAGGCGATGCCCGCAGCCGCGCGCCTTTGCTACAAGGCCGCCGATGGCGCAGCATGGCCTCCACTCCGTGACGCTCAGCCTGAGCCTGAGGGTTCAGGGTCGGCAATGACGTCATCGGCAGTGAGTGAGCCGGGCGATCAGCCGTGCCAATGCTTGACAAGCATGCAGGTAGCGGGCACTTCCGGTTAGCAGCGTGCTGGGCGGTCTCTCGCTGTCGTAGTACTGCTAGTAGTAGCGGTCGGGCACAGCTTGACCACGTGGCACTGACACGCGCGGGGCCCTCTTTCACCGTGACTGATGGCATGTCGATGACTAGCACACCAAATTGCACCGGCTTGTCGCCGAAGACGCCTGGGCCGACAGCAAGAACCCCTGCCAGCGGTCGAGCAGCTTCAAGTTCTTGCTGAACAGCGTCCGATGTGGTGTGCCGCAACATTTGTGCAAGCTCTTGCATGAAGCGTTGGCACTTGCCGTTACGCTCAAGGGGGGTGGTATGCAGCAGTGCTCAGCTTGCGGACCCACTGATGGCATCTGTAGCTGATAGAATGCGCGCGCAAGGGCCGACATGAAGATGCTGCCTCTTCAATAGCTCAGGAGTTTGGCAGGCACCGGCCCGGTTGCTACAGTGTGCCATGGAGCCTGTTTGTGACAATTGTATGCCATTTGCGCCACATGAAGCGCCGCCTCCGAGCCCTCTCAATAGACCCTCCCCCCCATCACCCCCCCCACCCCCCACTTAAACCACACGTGGCGCGCCCGGCGAGGTGCGCCCCGGCTGCGTCGCCGCCTTCTCCGCGAACGAGACGGCGCACGACGGCGCCCTCGAGATCGTCTTTGAGATCCGCGCCGGCGCGGAGGCGCGGGCGGAGGGGGCGGCGCGCGACGTCCGCGCGGCAGCGCTCAGGGCCTGCGGCCTCGCCGCCACGCGCGGCGTCGCGATCCGCGAGAAGACGATCCCTAAGACGACAAGCGGCAAGATACGGCGCCGCGCGAAGCGCGACGCGCTGCGCGCGCGCGAGCTGCGCGTCGACGGTCGCTGATTTTGCGTACGATGCCGCCCAGATTTCAGCACCAGCGGCAGAGGCAGCGGCAGCGGCGGAAGCGGCAGCGGTCACCAGTGGTGGCAGCGAAGCGGAGGCGGCGTGGAGCAGCGAAGCGGCGGCAGCGCCGGCGCCAGCGCCGGCAGCGGTGCAGGCGGCGGAGGCGCTTGCGCTGTGCCTGAGCCGCGCGGTGCGGCTGGCGTGGCTCATGCGCACGCTGCTTTGCGTGGCGCGCGAGATTTTGGGGGGCGACGGCGGCGGCGGCGACGCGGCGGCGCTGACGGCAGACGCGCCGCTCATGGACCGGGGGCTTCGACTCCCTGTAGGCGGACCAGCCGGACACAACGCTGCAGGACACGCTCAGCGACGCGCATGGCATCGACGTGCCGCAGACAGTGCTCTTGGACCACCCGACCGTCGCGGCGATCGCCGAGTTCCTGGAGGGGTAGTACTTGGGGGCGGCGGCGGCGCGGGGGAGGCGGAGGTGCCGGGCAGCAGCAGCAGCAGCGGCGCGCAGGGGGGGGGGGACATTGCCATCGTCGGCATGGCGTGCCAGTTTCCGGGCGGCGCGGACTGCCCGGAGAGATGCTCGCGGCAGGGACGGACGCGGTGACGGAGATTCCGCCGTCGCGCTGGGACGTGGAGGAGTCGTGCTTCGCCGATGGCAACGGTGAGCTGCTAGGGCTAGGGTTAGATTGCGGCGGTCATGCAATCGCTGAGCAAAGTTTACTCTTTGATTTGTGTGAGGATTGGTGGTTCGAACGCTGAGGATGAGGGGTACATGTGTTGTAAAGTCGCCGGCAGCAGTGAGTTGCGCCGCCGGTGATGGTGAGTTGCGGGGCGGCGGTCACTGCCAGGGTTTGGGATTAGGTTATAAGCGTCACCTGAGCGCTGAACAACGCGGGGCGGCGGTCTCTGCTAGGGTTATGGGTTAGGTTGTGAGGGTCGCATGAGGGCTGAACATGCGGGGCGACAGTCTCTGCTGAGGTTAAAGTTTGCTTAACAGGGGTCGCCTGAGGGCTGAACAGCATGCACTTGCTCATATGAGGATTGGTGATTCTGGGCGCTGAGGATGAGGAGTACAGTTGATGCCGGTTATGCTAAGCTGTTCATGTGTAGCAACAGTGGCGCACCTGCAGACGTACCGTACCAAGGAGGCTTAGACGCGTTCAATCAAGCCAGTGCTGAAGGCAGCCGCTGCTGGTTGATGGTCCGACCCACCGCCGCACATGCCGCCTGCGACAGCGGCAGCAGTAGGCACGCTATCAACTGCGTACCGGCGCACGGGGGTCCTTGCATGCCGCTTTGTTGGTTGATGAGACAGCCGCGCGCTATTGGTTAATGATACAGCGCCGCCCACTGAAGTTGAGCGCTGCGCAAGCCCCTGCAGGCTGCCAGCGCAGCTGCCGCTGCCGCTCACAATGCCCTCGCCCTCGTTGGCATGCGCGTCGCGCGCGCGTTCGCGCCGCATCGCCCAGGCTTTGAGAAGTCTTTTTCACGGACGGGACGTGTGCCTCGGTGATGCGCGCGTCCACACCGACGCGCGCTGCGGATATCCGTGACGTGCGCGCGGCCCCCCGTCCCTTTTCCCAGCTGTCATCTGTGGCACCCTGGAAGTCAGAGTCAGGGAGGCAGAGGCCCCATCATGGCTCTCATGCCTTGCGTTCGGCACGCACGCACGCACACGCGCATGCGCTCACGACCACCCCCCCCCGCCCATCGCCGCTCGCCTACCTTGCGCAACAAAAGCACACACACACACGCACACGCTCGCCGCCACGCCCCCCCCCCCGCACGCCCAGGCCCCAGAAAGTTGTACCAGGGAGATGGAGGCTCCATCGCGCACACCCACACGCTCACACACACGCCACCCCCCCCCCCCGCGCGCCCCCCCCGCTTGCACGCAGGCCCCGGACAGTTCTACGCGCGGCACGGCGCGACGCGCACCTCTTTGACGGCGCCTTCTTCGGCGTCGCGCCCACGGAGAGGCAGCGGCGATGGACCCGCAGCAGCGCCTCCTGCTGGAGGTGCGCTTTGAGGCGCTGCACAGGGTTAGGGTTAGAGTTAGGTTTAGGGGTACTACGCCAAGGCGGACCTCATGGGCGCGCGCGCGGGCGTGTACGTGGGCTGCTGCAACGCGGAGTGGGCGGCGCGCGCGGCGGCGGCGGCGGCGGGCGGCGGCGCGGCGGAGTCGGGGCCGTTTACTGCTATAGGGAGCGTCCGTGTCGCTGCTTGCTAATAGGTGCGCGTGTGCACACACCTGCGGCGTTCTGTT